ATTCTGTCTGTTTCCCATCTGTGATATCTTCATATGCGTTCAGCCCTTTCCATCCTGTTCAATGTCAACCTGTAATGGAACACACGAAAGTGTGGTGAGGTACTTGGATCCCTCTTTTAGAGAGGTCTAGTAGACTCTGTCTACTTCTAAATGGTAGACAGGAGGGCCTGGCATGCTCTGGTCCACGGGGTCACGAAGAGTCAGACACGACTTAATGACTAAACAACAACAACTTCTAAATAAATTTGAGATTGTGATTTAAAGTGGGAAATGCATTGCAAAAAATCAGAGAAATGCAAGATACAAAGAATAATTGTGCACAGAGCCATGCATTATTCTGGGAAGTGTGAATTAGACAGTTGTGTTGTGAAATACAGAGTCCACTAGAACCATAAGTATATCTGCACATCAGATTTGGTTTGCCTTTCAGCCTGTGTTCTGCTTTATTTTTCACTCTTGTCATCATCTTTGGACTTTAGTACTCACTCTGTTGTGCATATTATTGTATGTTGGGCCCAAAGCTTCCAGATTCATCTTTACCCCCAGTTGGGTATTTCTTCAAAATTGGCCCTAAATTCACTATGAAAGATTATGCAGGATCTCAAAGCAAAACTAGCCACTGTTAGATAAGTTGCAGTGGGCCTCATGGAGCGATGTCCCACTTCCTCACCTTTTTCAGCTTGCCAGGCTGAATACATGTAATAGACTTAGGCTGTCAGTTTGGTGACTATAACATTTCACAGGCACATTACGTTGTGGGTATCTCCAGTATCCTAGCAAGGCCTAGTGATGGTACTTTTCCCAGAACACTTTGGCTCCCTCTGCTGGCTGGCAGATTCATTATCTTTAACTGCAATAGCCTCCCAAAAATGTTTGCAGGTTTGACAAACAGCACAGTCTTTTTCTTTCCATTCACCCGACACAGAAAGATTTAATTCTCCTGAATAATTAAACCTGAGAATACTGGAAAAGAAGGGATGTGTGGTCATTTGTGACCATTAGAAAGAATGCTTAGAGCTCTTCTGTGCTCTTCAAAACTTTATCATGAATGCATAGAAGCACACACCTCTGTGATGCCACCAGAGCTCATGAGAAAACTAGATACAACTCCTAGAATGTGCCTAGTGGTCATCCGGGCTAGAGAATTCCAATAGAGGGAATAGATTAAAGGTTAAACACATGCAGAAATCACACAGATTGGAAATAAATGGATTCTTTCTTCTTCAGATGGAGCCACAAATAATAATAAGACTATAAGGTGTTAAATTTGCCTCAGAGGCCAGTGTGGTACGGCATGTATAGAGCCATCAGTGGTATCTGAAATTCTGAATTATCAATATCAGGCTTTGTAGGGTTGTTGGCGTCCTTTCTTATTCCATTAACTTTATTGCAATCAGGCACTTCATTTCTAAGTATTAAAATACATTCTCAGCCGCTGAACAAGTGAGTGCTTTATTCTTCCTGAGATGGGCTTCTCTTCCCAGTTGTGCGCATCAATAGCAATTATGTGACTTTGTAGCACGATGGCAACCAGCAGGAGACTCTTAAAAGTGCCAAATGACATTTTCAAACACATTTCACAGTGAGAATTGCTTCTTCCCATGTCAGATTAGAGGCAGCGTCCTTTAACTTTCTTTCCAATGAACTTAAAACCCTTGCGTTTGAAGACTGAAGGCTGCTTCTTGTGTCTGGTAAAGAAAAAAGGCCCTGGAAGGATGACTTCTGTATCATTCTGCCTTAAAAATGCACAATCTGTCTAGGACCACCTCTCTGCCCAGATATTTCCATCTTCATGCCACTCCACCAGTAGGGCAGAGCTTCTGCTAGTGGCAGAAATGTCAGTTCTATCTTCCCACAAGTGACAAATCCAAAATATTTGCTGGTGCACAAACTCACATTTCTGCATTTGAGTTTGCTGTTCTGCTAGACACTGATTTCTAGCAGCTAGAGGCTGTGAAAATCCTAGCAGAGATATGTCACCTTTAGGGCATAAAACAAGACAATCTTTTAGAGATGGGCACGAACCTCAGTTCACAGGCTCGTGCCAGTTGGTACATGTGGCGCCACAAGTGCTGTGCATCCCCTTTTTTCTGCCTCCCTGGCCAATGATCCACTCATGAGCCAGAGGACCCTCCTCTCCTCCATGAGTTCACAGGCTCGTGCCAGTTGGTACATGATGCACACAAGTGGTACATGATGCACACAAGTGGTGTGCATCCCCTTTTTTCTTCCTCCCTGGTCAATGATCCACTCATGAGCCAGAGGGCCCTCCTCTCCTCCACATCTTTGACCATTTGCCCAGTCCCTGGCAGTAACATGAGTTAGCCTATCCTGCTTCCTTATCTCAGTGGGCCTGGCAGTAACATGAGTTAGCCTATCCTGCCTCCTTATCTGAGTGGGTGACCAGCCAAGGAGGCAAGGCAGGGAAGCCTGTGTTCCTGCCAGAGACTGGTTAAACAGCCAAAGAGGAGTTGGAGAGGAGTGTGCACTGGCTGGTGAGTGAGGGAATCTGTCTTTTCCAGAGAATCCTGCCTTCCCATGATGGGCCCAAAGCTTCAACATTTTTGCCTACAGAAATAGTTTAGGCTTGATCTAGGACCTATCAACTTAGATAACCACCTGGCAGATATGCTTTGATTGTATTTCTGCACTGAGCAGGGGGTTAGACTTGATGGCCTTGTACGCCCCTTCCAACTTCACTTTTCTATGATTCTGTGATTCTACCTGTTTGTCTTCCTGGTGGTCCAGGGGATCTGCAAAGCTCTTCTCCAGCACTTGATTTCAAAGGAGTCAGGTTTTTTTCCTGTCAAACATTGGTAAGGTAAAGGTAAAGGTTCCCCTTGACATTTAGTCCAGTTGTGTCCAACTCTAGGAAGCAGTGCTCGGATATTAATACAGGATGAAAAGGTGGCTCATTTTTATATCAAACATACCTCATTGGTTAACTCATTTCAAATTCTAGCTTTTAGCATAATGTATATACTGTATCATGATTATGAGCCATCATGTTCTAACTTTGCACTGCCATGCTTTCAAACTGCTAGGTTGGCAGGAGCTGGGAGAAGCGACGGGAGCTCACTCCATCGCATGGATTCAACGTTACGATGGCAGGTCTTCCGACCTTGTAGCACAGAGGCTTCTGCGCTTTAACCCACAGCACTACCACGTCCCTCAAATATTGGTACACTGCAGTAAAGCCTCAGTTGCTCTGCCCTAGTCACAGCCCAGCCTGGAACTTTAGAAATTGACCACACCTGCCTTATGCATCATTAGACATAAGGTTAAGTGGGGGGGGGGGGCTACCATAGCCTTGGATAGGATATCTCTACACATTTGGGAAACTCTATTCCCCAGGCAGGCAAAGTATCCACCAAAACTTTTATAACTTACAATACAAGTTACGTTTGTTTTTGAACACTCTTTGTGGTACATCTGCACTTGTTGATCTCTTTAATTACTCTGATCTGATTTTAAATTACTTTGGCTTTATTTGATGTAGCTGGTGAAGTTGATTTGTTGCTGTTTATATGGTTTTTTTTAAAAAAACTGAAAATAACTTTGAAGATTTTAAATAGAAATAGGAGTATATAACAATGCTAAACAATATAAGTAAGTGTGGGGAAATTTGTGAGTAATATGTAGATAAAGTGCACACATGGAGTACTGGATATTAATACAGGATGAAAAGGTGGCTCATTTTTATATCAAACATACCTCATTGGTTAACTCATTTCAAATTCTAGCTTTTAGCATAATGTATATACTGTATCATGATTATGAGCCATCATGTTCTAACTTTGCACTGCATTTATTTCTGGTTTTGTAAACTGCTCTTAATTATTTAGAAGTAGGGTTTCTTCATTTTCTAGTTGTTATGATGCTTGCTTCTGTTTTTCAAAAATATATATATTTTTTAATGTTTTGCTAAGGAGTTGGCGGAAACTGCTTAGTTTGTTTATATTAATTAGCGCCTTCTTTCTTGAACAATTTCTGACACACGTGAACCTTTTCATATGGCTCTGATGCTGTTATAAATATAGCAAAAAGAAATATGCCAGCAATAATACTGTACCAGTGAGTTGCACATTTTTTACATTCTGGAAAAAAAACAGCATGTTTGAAACAGCCAAATAGATGCACTTGGGACGCAGACTGCAGCCTGGGAGTCCATGTTTCCCTCAGTTTTAAGTCCAAGCCTTCCATCTAAATTCCCCTGATCTACTTCCTGACTTTGGACTTAACTCTCTCATCCAAATTACTGCAGCCTGTTTCACTCTTCCCTCTCTAACCCAGAGATCTTCATAGCTGACATACAACAACGAATAGAACAATCTAAATATATGCTTCAAGGACTGTTCAGATTTCTGCACTGTTGTTCTGTGGCATCTTTAGCTGATTACTTTCCTTCTCCTCCTCAGGGATAGCTAAAGTTTTACCAACACTCAAGGAAGGAGTGGAATTGCCACCCCCGTTGTAGCCACCACGCTATCCTTCTGAGGTGCCTTTCTATTTTTACAGTGGTTCCAGTTCTTCCAAGATACACAAACTCAGAAGGTTGTGGAAATCCTGTTTGACACCTTGGCCACTGGCCTATGGTGTCCCCCATGGTTCATTTCTGTCTCCCATGTTATTCCCCATCTATCTAAAAGTACTGGGAGAGGTTGCATGGAGTTCTGAGGTTCAGTGCCATCAGTATGCTGATGACACTTTATCTCCTCCGCATCTGATTATGAGCCTTGAGGTACAATGATTAAACTGCAGTACTGCAACAACAAGGTACCTAAATCACTGAGTAGCCAGCCTAGATAGAATTAGGAGGGACATTTTAAAAAACAAAACTTCATGTACTTTGCTAATGACATGTTTGTCCTCTTTATGCATGCGTATCCTTTGGTCCAGTGCATTCTGGGTATTAAAAAATAGTTCCCTTAGGTGCTCTGAACCTTCTTAAGCATATATTGATATCTTAATCTATATATTTTTCTCTCTCCCCACCCCAGTCTTAATTTCCAGAATGCCGAAACAGCAAGAACAGTATCCGATATTTACAGCCGTCCTCTTCGCATTTATTTTCCTCCTAGCAGCTGTGAGTACTACCGAAGCTGGCAAAAAAGAAAAAACAGGTAGGGGTGCTATCATTTATATTGCTGAATTATTTAGAAAGATGACAGCAAAGATATCTTTGTCCAAGTTTGTTTTGTCTGCATTGGAAAACAGTATTATTCAGTGTTGGGATTACACACGCACACACGTGTATTTGTTTTCATAACTGTTGCCTCACACACTGTTAGGTAAACTATAACATCACAGGTAAATAAATATTTTAAAAGGGCCATCTAATCTGTACCACTCAGTCTTCCAGCCTTCTGGGGTTGTAAAATTGAGCACCCAGCTCGCTGCAGGTTGGGGGACAATATATAACCTACATGATTAAATTATAAACTTCCCAGAGAGTGCTTTAGGTGCTATAGGGTGGTATATGAGCAGCACACTTTGCTTTGCTTGTTGACTTTTGTTGCCCCAAACAGCTGTCTGATCCATATGTGGTCAGTTTGACTGATGTACTGAAAATATAATGGAAGTCCCCTCCTGAGGCCTCTTCAGTTGTTGTTGCCTGTAGGAGGGAAAGTGTGGGGGTACCAAAAAGTTGAGATGGGAATACCTTCAGACTCCATTGCACCATCATCTCAAGTATTACTGGGCATTTTGAAAAAGGCATGAACTTAATTCGGGCCTTTGTAGAACTGAACCTCAGCTCATTCGTTTATGGAAGGGATGGTCAAATTGTAACCTGCAGAACCCTCTGTGGCTCTCTTCCCCAAGAGCTTTTTTGGGAGCTCCAGATCCTTCTTCCCCAAACCTTTCTGCCATTTTTTTTAAAAAAATGCTTGGTCAAAAGGCAGCCTCCAGGAGCAACCGTTTTAAACTCCTAAAGCAACTTCAGGAAACTGGAAGTACACATTTGGCCCCTTCTGTTCTGGATTTATTTGCTCATGGGGACATTCTTCCAGCCTGTGGTGTGTTTTGGGGGGGCAGAAAATGGACCCCAAGCCTCTGGAAGTTGTCTACTCCAGTTTAATGTAAGCTTAACTGAACCCTGGTCTGATGACATGCCCCATGATAGCGTCTGAAGTGTCCTGATTGGTTAGGATTCATTCTAAGGGTAGCCAAGCTCCAACATCCTTGGGGATGCATCCCTTCTCACAACAACCACATTAGCAACTTAAACACTGCCCAGGAAGTTGCACGCACCCTTGGTGATTTCACACCAAATCCAGTTACTTCTTAATTTCCACTGCAACTTCAGAAATTGGCCTAGAAGCAATAGCCCCCAAATCTTTCTAAGTATTTGGCATTGCCCCTTGAACTGTGTCCCTCAACTGGGCATCTCTTTCCTTAGTTGATATTTATATTTTGGTTTGTTGTTGAGGGAAAAGATCCACCACATAAACCCCCTATTGCTCTTTGCAAGAGTCTTCTGGCCCAGTGATATATGCCTGCTGCAGTGGACAGCCTTGGAAGGCAGCCCATCTAGGAGAAGGAAAACTCCGATTTCAAACCTCCACTGCCTTGTGGCTATATCCACTTATGGAAAGGGCTTCAGGAGATAACCTCGAGGCAAAATCCAGAGCTGGAGTCTCAGAGGCAGTTTGTGTCGTTCTGGCAACTCCTGCAACGTTGTTGGAACCAGTTGTATTGGCTTTTGCCTTTCCATTGGACTATTTCAGTGATGTGGAGAGGGGGGATTTGCTGCTTGGGTAACAGCCTATCCTCCATATTATTTTACCCAGGTTTCGTGCCCTGGAGAGGACACGCCAGCTTAGCATACAGCATTGAAATAACTAGTAATCTAATAGTTCAAAGCCAAATAATATAGTTTTTTTTTGCTAGCAAAGCATATTCACTTGAGTCAGATTCAACAGATGCTGGAAGGGTGAGGGCTTTGGGTTTTGTTATGAAAAAAAGAGAAATCATTCTTTTTTCTTCTCTTTTTTTACAAAACAACTGGAGACTTGTTAGAGTGACAAAACGCTGATGTTGTGTTTTATTGTAAATGGCAATGGAAGGAATAAGCGAAGTTGAATCTGAAATAGTTCAAAGCCAAATAATATAGTTTTTGCTGGCAAAGCTCATTCATATTCACTTGAGTCAGATTCAACAGATGCTGGAAGGGTGAGGGCTTTGGGTTTTGTTATGAAAAAAAGAGAAATCATTCTTTTTTCTTCTCTTTTTTTACAAAACAACTGGAGACTTGTTAGAGTGACAAAACGCTGATGTTGTGTTTTATTGTAAATGGCAATGGAAAGAATAAGCGAAGTTGAATCTGACAGCTGTTGAAATGTTGGTTCATTACAGCAAGAGAGATACTCAGAATCATAACCACACAATCATCGAATCCAATCAATTCTTCACAAGGCCTTATCTTGGCATCTGTTGAGAGGAAGTATTCAGGTCATGATGGTTGTTGACACCCAAGATCCATTAACTACATCAATTTAATGATCTTTCTGGTCACCCAAATAATTGCAAGGCCAGTATCCTATTGCTAGTGTCACTAGAGTAGAACTCCATGGGATTTCTGTTTAATGTTGAAACCTTATTAACAATTGAATCAGTGGATCTACTCTTAGGTGGGACAATCAGTAGGTACTGGCCTAAACTGTTAAGTTGTCGATTTCTTCTCTGTTAGCCACCAAATAATTGCAAGGCCAGTATCCTATTGCTAGTGTCACTAGAGTAGAACTCCATGGGATTTCTGTTTAATGTTGAAACCTCATTAACAATTGAATCAGTGGATCTACCCTTAGGTGGGACAAGCAGTAGATACTGGCCTAAATTGTTAAGTTGTTGATTTCTTCTCTATGGTACCATCTCGGTGGGAAGGTAAACAGCGTTCCGAATCTAAGTTGCGCTGGTCACGAGACAACGGGAACTGTCTTCGGACAAACGCTGGCTCTACGGCTTGGAAATGGGGATGAGCACCGCCTCCTAGAGTCGAACACGACTGACTTAAATGTCAAGGGGAACCTTTACCTTTATCTAGCCACCTTCACCCAAGATGTTTATCAAAAGTACAGCAGTAATGACGATGGCATTGCTGTGCCAATTCTTTTGATTTTATAAGAATCTTGAATAATCTGGGTTCCAGATCAGTTGAAGACCCTCTGCTTCTCTCAGAGGTCCTCAGGTATTCTGTCTGAAGAGGCATTTCAGATCAGCCTCTACATTTATGTACAGTATACTAAAGCAAAGCAAAGAGTGCTGCTTATATACTGCCCCATAGAACTTACAGCTTTATCTGGATAGTAAGTTCGGTACTCAATTTACCAAATTTGGAAGGATGAAAAGCTGAGTCAACCTTGAGCCAGCTACCTGAGCCTGGGATCGAACTCAGATCGTGCGCAGAATCTTCACTACAGTACTGCAGTTTACCCACTGTGCCATGAGGCAATACAGCAAGAATTGAAATGAAGAGCTGAAATGAAAGATAGATGAAGATTCCACTGAGCAATACACTGCTATCCTTTCACTTCCACACTTCTCTGAATGTTGCAACGTCATTCTGAATTCAAAAGTCCTAACAAAATGCATATAGAATATGTATTTTAAGGTAAATTGTACACCAAAAAAATTACCGTATTTTTCCATGTATAGAATGACACTTTTCCCTAAAATAATTAGGGGGAAATTGAGGTTCATTTTATACAAGGAAGGAGGCAAAGGCAAAGGGGCATTCACGAGCGCTTGGGGACCTCTTGTTGCTGCCACCGCCCATTGTATGTATTTTATGGTAAATTGTACACCAAAAAAGATTACCGCATTTTTCCATGTATAAAATTACATGTATAAATAGAGGGAAAGTGAGGGTCATTTTATACAAGGAAGGAGGCAGAGGCAAAGGGGCATTCACGGGCGCTCGGGGACCTCTTGTTGCCACCACCGTCCATTGCCTCATCCAGTGCAACTGCCGGGGCTCACCTCCAGCTCATGTCGTGGCCTTGTCCCCTCTGGTGGCGGAAGCAGCAGCAGCAAGAGGCAGATGTGGAGGCAAAGGAGCACTCATGTGCGCTTGGGTGCCTCTTGCTCCTGCCACCGCTGCTGCCACCTGATTGCCTCCTCCAATGCAACTGCTGGGGCTCACCTCCGGCTCATATCGTTGCCTTGTCCCCTCTGGTGGCAGAGGCAGCAGCAGCAGGAGGCAGAGTCAAAGGAGCACTCATGTCCTCTCGGGTGCCTCTTGCTGCTGCCACTGCCACTGCCACCACTGCTTCCTCAAGTGCTACTACCGTAGCTCACTTCCACATCATGGCCTTGTCCCCTCTGGTGGCAGAGGCAGCAGCAGCAGGAGGATGTGGAGGCAAAGGAGCACTTGCATGTGATCGGGCGCCTCTTGCTGCTGCCCATTGACTGCTGCCACTGCATCGCTTCCTCCAGCACTCTCTTCGGGCAGGGAACAAGGCGGTGACAACATTAGCTGAGGTGAGCCATGGCAGTCCCAATGGAGGAGGTGATCGGGTGGCAGAGGCAGCAGCAGCAGGAGGCAGAGTCAAAGGAGCACTCGAGTCCACTCGGGTGCCTCTTGCTGCTGCCACTGCCACTGCCACCCAGTTGCTTTCTCAAGTGCTACTACCGTGGCTCACTTCCAGCTCATGTCGCGGCCTTGTCCCCTCCGGTGGCAGAGGCAGCAGCAGCAGGAGGATGCGGAGGCAAAGGAGCACTTGCATGTGATCGGGCGCCTCTTGCTGCTGCCCATTGACTGCTGCCGCTGCATTGCTTCCAGCACTCTCTTCGGGCAGGGAACAAGGCGGTGACAACATTAGCTGAGGTGAGCCATGGCAGTCCCAATGGAGGAGGTGATCGGGTGGCAGAGGCAGCAGCAGGAGACAGAGGTGGAGGTGCAGTTGCCAATTAACTGCTCCTCTGCCTCCAGCAAAGGTCAAAATTAGGGGGTCATCTTATACATTGGGGGGGGTCGTATACATGGAAAATGTGGTATTTTGAGGAAAATGCATTCAAAATAGTGCATATACTAAAAGTTGTGGCTGGATGCAGAAATGGGATGGTGCATACTTAACTTAATCTAACTAACTAATTAACTAACAGACATGGGCAAAAAATCCATATGCAAATCTTACCATAGTCTTTTTGATTTTTTTTTAATTGTTCAGATTTTTTCAGTGTCTAAGTGAATATCTCTGGAGGAGAAATTTGGAGAGGTTGATTTGGTGTGGTTCCAGAACAATAGATGCTGCCAGATGTTTTTTAAAAGAGCATTAGTGAGGGATTTGAAGAAATATCACTCATTTTCACATTCTAATCAAAACAGGATATCTTGACAATTTGAGGCAGTTTGTTAGAGCTGGTTAGCTCCCCCAAAAAAGTTCGGATTCCAATGCAACTGTGAGACAAGAAGGGTCGTTTTCCCTCCTTTTGTCTGGGTTTCTGCAATTTGCAATTTGCATAAAATCCCTCTTTCCATACTGGCTTCTTCCTACATTAAAAAAAAAAACACAATGCAAGTAAACAAGGACTGACTGATTGGTCACAAAGATGGAAAGAACTCATCTGATTTTTAAAAATCCATGCTACAATGCAGCGGCTATGGCAATTTTTAGGCAATTATACCATTTGCACAAACATTGCACTTCTAATTATGAGAACTGTCATTGATACCAGCAGAAAAAAATCTATTCCTGCTTTGCAGGCAGAGGGGGGGAGGGGGAGGGAAGGAGGAGAGGGAGAGGGAGAGAGAAAGAGAGAGGGAGAGAGGGAGAGGGAGAGGGAGAGAGGGAGGGAGGGAGTTTGTTTCTCCTTCTCACACACAAGACTGAAGGAGAGGGAGAGAGGGAGGGAGGGAGGTTGTTTCTCCTTCTCACACACAAGACCGAGACATACAAGTGTTATGATCCTAAATATAACCGTCCCTTTATCAATAATTTTGTATGTGCTTATTAAAGGGAAGATGGTGTGTTCAAATGTGCCCCATGAACATCATTTGTTTCTGTTTGTGCATTTTTGTTGTTGTTGTTCTTTCCAGAGAAGAAGGTGAAGAAATCTGACTGTGGGGAATGGCAGTGGAGTGTGTGTGTTCCTACTAGTGGAGACTGTGGGCTTGGGACCCGGGAGGGCACTCGGAGTGGGGCCGACTGTAAACAAACAATGAAGACACAAAGGTGCAAGATCCCCTGCAACTGGAAGAAGCAATTTGGAGGTAAAACGTCAGCAGGATCTTGATTAACCATCCTGGTAAAGCAGAGGGTTGCAACTCTTGTAAACTGCTGGATAGCTCAGTGGATTGGGAGTTCAATTCCCCACAGTGCCTCCTTGGCTGGACTTGATGCTCCAAAGGTCCCATCCAGCTCTGCCATTCTAAGATTATTGTTTTGATTATGATGATTAAACATATAGTTGCTTAAATCAGTGGTTCTCAAACAGGGTTACCCAGATGTTCTTGGACTTCAATTCTCAGAAGCCTTCAGCACTTGCTGTGCTGGCCAGGATTTCTGGGAGTTGCACTCCATGAACATCTGGGGACCCCAGTTTGAGAGCCACTGGCTGAAACGATGCAATCAAAACTTCTTTTCCAGTAAGGTATCCTTGTTAGTTTTTGCATTAAAACCAACAAATAGTCCATCAGCACATTGAAGACTAACAGGTTTTATGTGGCATTAGCTTTCCTGGTCTGCAGGCCGCTTCTGCAGATACGCAGAAACAGACAATTATACAGTGGTGGAGAAGATAGAAAATAACATGTAAAGGAAAAGCAGGCATTCCAGTTTGTTGGTGGTCAATCAATAGTCATTATGTGTCATTGACAGTCCTTGAGGATGATTTAAACCTAGACTTTTCCTCCTCTCAGGTGTCTTAATCTGCTTATTTTGACTTGAAGGTACTTAACACCCACCATCGACCTATGAAAGACTCTTAATCACCACAGTTGAGATTTCTATCTGTAATCTTGGATGAATCAGATGACACTTTTAATCCAGTACATTTAAAAATATAGAGGAGAAAGGACTGATACAATGTCAATACAAAACCACCCTGCCATACACTGACAGCTCTAGATGGGAAATATCTGAGACAGTATCCATTTCCATCAATGGTTCCCATCCTTGTGTCCCCAGATGTTCTTGAACTACAACTCCCAGAAATCCTGGCCAGCACAGCTAGTGGTGAGGACTTCTGAGATTTTTAGTCCAAGAGCGACTGGGGATCCAAGGATGGGAACCACCGGTTTGCATTACTATATCACTTGATGTAGCACTTTCTGACCATACTTTAATCTAGTGATGGGGAACTCCAGATACTTCAGCTCCCATTGTCCCCAGCTTTCATAGCCAGAGATTAGGGATAATTGAATTTGTAACATCAAGACCATAGTCCTGCTTTAACCTCCAGTTTGTGTCTGCGCTCAGTGTGTGTTGAAGAGGTTGAGGTACATTCTGAGTCAATAATTCAGAAGCAAAGTCTTGATAGACTTTCCATTCCACACATGTCTTCCTTCAAGTAACAGTGGGGCTTTAGTGCAAAAGTGGCCAACATATGGCCACAGAAAGACAGCTGGAAAATGTCGCTGACATGGTTGTAGAATGAGGCATGATCAAGCTAATACTGGGGTACCATAGGAATGATCATGTCTGATACCTCTATCACTCTGTTTTTGAATTAAACTATAAAAGGTAGGGGATGTCCAGATTGGGAAGCGGCCATTATTTCCTTTCCTTTTTCATTATCTTTTCATTACTGAAATCTTTTGGTTCCACCGCTGGAAGTTTTAAGAGAAAATTAAACCCAAAGCTTCTTTTCTTAGTGCTGGCTGCTTCTGAGGAAGTAGCTAAAACTGCCACAGATCTACCTAATAAGCCCACTTTGGTAAGGCCTGTCTGGCCAAAGATTTGGTCTGCCACAGAGTGAAGCCGGGGTGCCTCAGGAGGACACCTTGCCCAAACCCTCTTCAAAGCTGAGAGCCGCTCTTTGTGGAATTCTACAGTATCTTATCTGTTTCTCTCTCCTGTCTTGACATCAAATCAGAGTGTATGTCTTATGTGAGTAAGGAAGATCTTGGAACCTTGGGAGTGTAATGGTGGTCCTCTGTAACTTTAAAAATGTCAGCCATGATAGTGTGGCTCAGGGGACTCAGAATATAGCTGGAGACTCAGTAGAGCAGTCGCATTTGGCCAAAAAAGTGAATTAATCTTTGATGACCATCCTGTTGCTTACCTGCACAGCAGTGTCTTTAAAATCCATTTCAAACACAAAGCAATACATGTGCATCAGACATATAGATGTCTATACATGTATGCAGAGCAACACACATATTCATCCTGCCCAGGTGGCTTAGAGTGGGCAGGGATCAGAGAGCTGCATTTCTCTCAAAATAAGACATCCAAGATTCAGCTCCTGAATACATTGTGTAGGACTGGACTGTCTTGATGGAACCGTAGGTAGATCACAAAGGCTTGGGAACTGTATTCATGGCAATATTGCAAGACCCACATACATTTTCAAGTTCCCTTCATGTGTCTAGTGAAGAAAAATATGAGAGCAAAAGTAAAAAGATGGCCATATCGAGCTGAGTGGGTTAATTAGCTCATCAAAGTCTCTGGGACAAAGGAAAATGTTGAGCAACAGGGAGTCAGTTGGATGAGACAGTTAAAAGATAATGCAAGAGTGAAACAGTAATTAGGAACAACATTCTGCTGCCTTTATTTGCTGGAAATTTCAGCATGCAATCCTGTTAAATTAGGCATTTGTCTTCTGTTCTGATTGAGCTTCATGCAGCTCTTAGTTTTTGTAGCAGAAAAAAAAAGAGAGCGGCAGAGGGACGCCTGGTGGAAGAACAAGATTCCCAACAGGTGTATCGTCACGTGATAAAATCAATTTTACAGTTGTGTTTCCCACATCTTTTTAACGTAGAAGGACAGTGTTCTTTTTCAGTACGTTATAGTGGATAGAATTATTCAACATGTAGTACGCTCAACAGAACAGGGAAAACATTTGCAGCAAGGTTCCTTGTCCTCTTCTCCCGTCTTTTAAAGGAAAAGAAAAGGACAATAGGTTGAACTTGTTATTTGTTCACGCTTTACGAGGATTAGCCAAATAAAAGCTACTGAGGAATAATTATGTGTGGGCTGAAATTTGGGAGGAATAATTGCATCCACTGATTTCCCACCCTAACTTTAGGGGCAATAGAAAGATGGGAAAATGTTATGTATCCTTAGCAGATCCTGGGTTCATAACTTAGCTTGGAGAAGTTAGTTTCTGAGGGACTATATTTCCCAGAGTTCTAGCCCATAAGTCTGACTTCTTCGTTTATGGGTTGTCTCATTATCCAGAAACATTTGTTCTCCATCTCTGGTCCTCTAGACATTTTGTACATGAAATTTCAGAGAGAAAATAGAACTTATATATATATATAACTTATAACTTATATAAGAAAGGCTTACAGGCTCTCCCCAAAGGACCTTGAACCATGCTTCAGTAACCCTCTTTCTATGCAATTTGAGTATTTCCCACTAGCAACATGGCCTCTTCTGCTGAGGAACTACTTTTGAATTGTTTCTGGGAATTTGTTTCTTCCCAGGGCTAAAACAGTAGCAGCTGCCTGCTGAGTACTTGTCCAAGTTCCTGTGTTGTGTAGCCATTCCTCCCTCGTTTTCAACTCCCGGTAATAACCTCCAATGGGCCCATTTGTTCTTGCAGCGGAGTGCAAATACCAATTCCAGGCGTGGGGGGAATGTGACCTAAACACTGCTCTGAAGACTCGAACCGGGAACCTAAAGCGAGCCCTACACAATGCGGACTGCCAGAAGACGGTCACCATCTCAAAGCCCTGCGGGAAGCTGACCAAACCCAAACCTCAAGGTAACGCTCCTTTGAAAATCACCCTTCTGAAGCTTCTCCCATTTTTTTGCTCATAAGTGTCTTTCAGACCTTGTCTGGCCGAGGAAGCAGCACAGCGTGCTGAGAGAGCCTACATGTCTTGCCTGCTCCAAGGTTCAATTTCTGGGCCGCCTGTTTAAAAGGATGTAAGGGAGGGAAAGACGTTGATGAGTTCCTACCAGTGCTTAGAGGCACTATTTCTGGACTACAACTCCCAGAAACCCTCACACATTTGTGGTTAGAGTCTTACCCTACCATTGAGTAGAGTGAAGAAACTGCCTCAAGTGCCAACCCCTTCCCCCATCATTCCTTCCCAAAATCCCAGCCAATTCCCATCTCTTGGAGGACAGAGTGATGTGACATGCAATATCTGCTCTTCACCTCCTAAACTAACGATTCCATTCATGTGTGATGATGTTCCCTCAACCCTAGTCCTTTTGGCCTCTGTACATCAAATGGGAACAATGTTGTTTTGTCCTTTGCCTCAGGCATCAAAATGTCTGGGGCTGCCCTTGGGCTGTATAGAATATAGAATGCTACCTTTAAAAAAAGGGGGGGGGGCTGATATATTTTTCAAGGCCCAAGAATGAAAATGAACTAAGGAAAGTCATAGAAAAGTTGCCCTTTAAAAAAAGGGGGGATCAGAATGACAAATGCTCTGATAAGATAAATCTTTCAGCTTAGTTTACACTTGAGTTATATTTAGAGTGATCTTATAATAAGAAGGATGTTATCTGCCCTTCCCGTTCTCCTCTCTCAATGAAAAGCCTGTTTATCCAGAACTGCATTTTCTTCCATCAGCTGTCATGCTGTAATATTTTCTGGTTCAAAATCCATTTCTCCCTGTATTTTCTTTTTGTCCGTTTGTTCCCCTTAAGAATCTAAGGAGTGGAGGGGTAGAGAGTACTTGATCAATTTCTCTTTTCTCATGATTTTCTGGGTCTCGCTATGCTGAGACTCCTTTATTGAGGCCAGTGCGCTTTATCAGCTTCCCATGAAAAAGAAGAACTGGACTCTGTTCTCTCTTTTTTTGTTGTTGTTGTTGTTTGTCACTTGCTCTTTCACATAAGAAATGGCCAAAATCTGCACAGTTCCCTTTTGAGGGGATCCTGCACAGCAAAAATCCCATGGTGCACAGGAATTGTAATAATTGTGGGTGGATTGGGGTTTCTTCTAGAAAAAAAGCGCCACAAAACATCTCAGAAGTCCCGTAAGATTTTGCTGGAGAAAAAACAAACTGTCATGCAGAGAAATGGATGATCTTGGTCTTCGTCTCCAGTGACACATTCTTTTCTAATTCTTTCATTGCTGGCCGTCCAAATCTCAATTTATTTTTGATTTCTTAGCTTCAGTCTCCATTGGTGTAAAGTATATGGATGCATACTGCTCCACATAGTCAGAAAACCATCATATCAATGGGTTCTGGATTATGTGAAGACTCTCTACAAGTAGCAGTGGTTCCATATTCAGAGAGGGAAAATAGAGGGGGTGAGGCTTGCCAGCCCTCCCTCTCTTCACACAGTCAGAGCAAGCCTGTCTTGAAGTCATGAATGAGATTCCTGTGATGTGCATTCAGCTAAGTGCACAGAAGAGGCTCCCCTCTACAGCATATCTCAAGTGCAGAGGTTGGAAAACTTACTTTTTTTTACTACAGACCTGAGAATCTCCAGAGTGGCTAGTGTGATTCTAGAAAACATAGTTCAAAATTGGTGAATGGCTGGGGCCAGTTGCTATGCAATTCCACTCTTCTGCTCCATGGATCTATAACTGGATAAGGCTAATGTCTGAGTAAAATGTAATGTTGAAAACTTTAGGTTGAGTAACACATTTACAGGATCCCTGGAAAGGGATAAGCAAGAGGAGCTTTTGAGTTTTTCCAAACTTGACACCAGGTATTGATGGATGATATAAAAATCAGAAATAAGGGATGGCACACAGAGTCCAAGGGAAAAAAAAAACCAAGGCCAGATGTGATGTACAGTGGTGCCTTGCTTAACTATTACCTCGTTAAACGACGAATACGCTTGACAATGAGGTTTTTGCGATCACTTTTGCGATCACAAAACAATGTTTTAATGGGCAAAATTCACTTCCCGACAATCGGTTCCCTGCTTCGGGAACCGATTCTTCGCATTACGACAATCAAAACAGCTGATCGTTGGGTTTCAAAATGGCTGCCTACTGTGTAAAATGGCTCCACGCTGTGCTTTAGGATGGATTTTTTGCTGTGCATGCATCGGAAAATGGCCACCCTATGGAGGATCTTTGCTAGACGCTGAGGTATTTAGCCCATTGGAACACATGGAGTGGTTTTCAATGCATTTCAATGGGCTTTTTTATTTCGCTTGACGAAGATTTCACTCTACAGTGATTTCGCTGGAACGGATTATCCTCATCAAGCGAGGCACCACTGTATATTGTTCTTAAAGACACCAGGCTAACAAGATACAATAGAGTTTGCAGATTCAGTATAAAACAAAGATGTCCATTATTAATTTAAATTAAACCCCAAACCAAAATGGAGCCTCTAACACTCAGTCGATTGCCTTGAGTAAGGCAGAAGGCCCTCTTACATTCTCAGTATAGAGAGAAACAAAGCCAAACAAACAGAGATCAGCATGCTTGCATTGCACCACAAAGCAGAAGAACCAATTTAGATGCCCAGAATATGTTAAAAATCAAGTAATGATGTTGGAAATAACCATGATCAGCTGTCTGGGGCATGTTCTGCTGTTACAGGAAGGAACCTGTCCATAAAACTCTACTACAGGGATGATTCTGTGTACTCTAACCACTAGAAGTGTCTCCCAGTTCGGCTTTTATTGACTTTTAAGTAAATCAGCACTGATTTTTTCCTGGCACTGCCGATGCATTAAAAATACAATTAAAAGAAACATCCAGAGTACAAATCAAAGATCAGGAAGTCCTCATCAACCCATCCTGTGGCATGACATGCTAGGTGGCAAGAGAGATTAAATAGAAACAATGAGCACTTAGGTGTGCCTGTGTGGCTTTGAAGAAATAATTTGCAGTAGAAGTCCTACCACGCAGAGCACTGCTTTCTCCACCACAGGCATCCCGGTGTCAATCCAAGATAAATATGTCTTTTCCCTTACCCGCTCAAATTAATTGAGTGCTTTAATGAACTCTGCAGCTGCAGCAGGTGCTGTGTACACAGAGAAACTGATAGCGGGAGAGGAGACTGGGAGGTGTGTACCACTGTGCTGAAGACAAAGCCTCACGCTTCCTTCACAAAAGGGGAACCGTTTGGCAGCTTGTTTACTGCCCCCGAGTTGTTCTCGGAAAAGCAATAGAATCTAATCAAATACTGGGGCTTTCCGCTGGTGAATTTGGTTTGGATAATGAGAGCAAAATAAGACAGAAGTCGGCAGAGGTGAAAGCCTTCTAAACGGGTGGTGCTCAAACCCCGGTTCTTTCAGAATATATTAAGCCAGCTAGGACTTGTCTTCCACTCTTCTCAGTTCATTCTGCTGAGAGGGGAATACTTGGCCTCTGGCCCCAAAGTACCTCACGGATACCACTGCTAACTCTTCTGCCACATTCTAGGAGGTTCTAGCAGATTGTAGGAAATAAGGAATAAACACGACACCCTGTGTACTGAGAATATTCTCTTGCATTCTGCCATCAGAAGGCAGCCGGCATGGCTCTGTAGCTTTAGGATGGAGAACTCGTCATTTAAATATCATTGAACTGCAGCATTCACCACCCCCTAGGCAGCCTAGTATCCAATGAGAAGAGCAAAGCCTGGAAGGGATCCTTTTTGGAGCTGCAAATGTCCAAAATCTCCCAGCTAACATAACCCAGTTTGGGTCAGAATCTGAGAAATAGCTCCAGCGCTATATGTTTCCTGTTCCTGTTGTGGCACCTGCTACGTTTCATGGATAGTTGCCCCATGTGGTGAGTTACTGAGCTACAGGTAGCAGTTTCTGAGGGCTCATCCACACAGTGGAGTTGCCCTGGGTGTCCTGGGAACTTTCCCTCTGGCTCTGTGTTGCCATATTACCTGATTAGTCATGGTCTACCTGGATTCAGATCCATTCCACAGTTTTGTGCTGTGACAAGGACTTTATCCAGAGGCTGTGATATCTCAAGGAATCAGATGCTACTAATCAGGGAGTTCTGCCCATGGGCAAACTCCTTCGCTCCTAGCTGACCACCGTCTGCCTTGAAGTTGACACAGTAGAGGAGATGTTGCATAGCAACAGTCAAGAAGTATTTTGAGGATGCTCATCCATCACTACTAATCTTGAGGATATACAAATACATTTCTACGGAATGCACCGGATCAGTCATTTCCAGTTTGCCATGACTGTGGATACCAGCCCGTATGGTGATTTGGACTTGGGGCATTGGATTGGATGGAAGATAAATCACTAAATTGGCCTCCAGACTGAATTGGGGTCCCACACCCATAGTCTGGTTTTAGTATAAACACAATAGGACTGAAGTATCCATCAGGGGTCAGTTCCAAGACAACCCCCCTCCTGAATGCCAATAAGGCAGAAATAGCAAATGATATACATAGCATGGTCGCTGACTCCGTCTGGTGGCCAGTTCTGGTGTATACACCATGGAAATATGTATAAATACCCATTTCTGTTTTGCTTTTTAATTTAAAAAAGCAACAGATAAGTAAACCCGCAGATACTGATTGCATGGATGCGATGTAAAAATGAAAGTTGCTTCACTCCTGCATTGACTCTTATGGATTGGAAACCTTGGAGTTGGGGTGTGTTTGCATCATTTTAAATAATCAGCCAGTTATTCTGTGCATTTCTGTTTCTTGAGTTTCGATATGAAAGGGCATTAGTTTTGTGCAGAGACGTTTTGAGCAAATTATAGACTTTAGCTAGGGAGGAAAAAAAGCATCTGACTCAGAATAAGACCGATTCCTGTGTTATTCAATTTGTGCATTGACTGAATGACCACAGTTCTTTGGGGACATTACAACGGTGCAGAAT